CCTCTACACTTGTGTTTTTTACAACAGGCAGTTGCCGTCCATTCCAGTTTACTAATAATGAATACTCTGTCTAAACAATCTATCACAGACAAATGTCATTTGCCCTTTCACCTAACTGTTTGAATTGAGATATGATGTCATGCTTCTCTTCTGCTGTTCTTCTCATTCTTCTCATTCTCATTCATGAACAGGCCCGGCATGGCCAGGTGGTTAGGGCGCTCGACTCGCAATCTGAAGGTCGCGGGTTCGAATCCCCGTCACACGAAACATCAGCTGTGGGGGCGTTATAATGTGACGGTCAATCTCACTATTTGTTGGTAAAAGAGTAGCCCAAGAGTTGGCGATGGGTGGTGATGACTAGCTGCCTTCCCTCTAGTCTTACACTGCTAAATTATGGACGGCTAGTTACTGCTGAGCGTGAAGTATGGCATGATCTGTAGTTAGTTGCAGATCAAAGCATTTAGGAAAGCGATTAGTTCTGAAATTATACTCTAAATCACTCTAGAACAACACCATAGAATGAACAATATGTTTACCAAACAAGATAACATCCATACCAAAAAATCCATTGTGATGAGCCTTGGCATATCTCCTGATATTGTTATCTTGATAATAAACAAGGATTTAAAGTTTAAAGAGGCTTACAAATCAAAAGTTCACAAGTCTCATGCCATACCTCAAAATCAATGGATTTTTAATGAAAAAAAAAGATTATGGAAGAAATTGGAACCACGGAACCCCCCTCAAATATACGCATGTCAAGTTCCCTGATGTAGCCCCATTGAATTTTTGTGTTTTAATTTGCTTAAAAGTAGTATTGAAAACCGACGTCTACCTACAGATGACAGTCTGAACGATTACACATAAACAAATATCCACCTATATCCAACGTACAAGTAATTGAGTTCAAGCACCCTATGTTTCATCTTAACTAAAATTAAAAATTAAGGTTATACATACACATACAAAACCACATATATATAAAATATTAATGTAGTTTTCATGTGAGTGTAATAGAACATTAAAAACTTGAAACTGTTATTTTTTGCATAACACTTCTGAATACTTTTGTTAATATGTAATTCTGATCAGTTGAAATGTACATAATTTTTGGATATTTTTTACAATTATCTTGTAATTGTTATATTCTATAGCATTGTTAATGATAAAATATTTAGTCTTTAACGTTTATGGTCTCTAATTATTTCTGAAGACCTTCTATGTTTTATCCATATATTTTGATCATTTTCTACAACGACAACGTACCCCGTCTATCAAAGGCCTTCCTGTTGCAAAATTGAAGTTAAGGCACCTAATATGTAAAAGTTGGTATTCTTGTACATCATAGCACTATTGCATAAGCAATAACCCAAACCTTCAGAAAACAGTTCAGTGTAACTACACGCAACAAAATAAGGAGCTAAGCATATGCGGTTTTATATCCTCTATGTTCAAAGCTTCTATTGTACTCACTGGTAAGACAATTGCAAGCATTGCAGCATGCCACAGAATTACACTATGTAAAAACTATTCTGCATAGAAATCAAACAGGCAAACATTTCACCATCAACAACCATACAGTTGAGGACTCTTCGATTCTTGGACTTATTAGTGCTCCGAAAGACCTTCACAAAAGGGAACGACTGGAAAGGAGATTAATCTACAATATGGGGACCCTACAATCACTGGCGTAGCCAGGGGGGGCATTGCTGTATTTGGCTTGTATTTTTCACCAGTTTTTCCCTACAATTCTTAATATCTCACACCTTATAGTGCTCATGCTATAACACTCATTTAACCAATGTAAAGGAAATAATAAATATTATAAAAATAAATGAAAAATTATTTGCAAATATGAATGTTAAGACTTGGCCTCCCCCTTTTCAAATTTCTAGATACGCCAGTGCCTACAACCATCTGGTTTAAATGAACGCTTTTCTTTCCTATAGATTTTCATTTTTCCATTTTTTGTTTGAATTTTAATTGCAATCTGTTCATGACTGGTAATATTTATGTAAAAAATGTAATTTTGCACAGAAATTTCATGCTCAACATTCTGAATACTACGCACGCAATTTCTTTTATTTCTGCGCATGCACCTTTGTTGTAAGCGGTACAATCTGATGAAAAATGCTAGCTCGAAACGTCATCCTTCTAGAAATAAAAATATAAAAAAATTGGCGATTGTTCAACCTATTCTTTAATTTCGATATCTTTGTTGCCTATGTGGTTTTAACTATATATTACTTTTTGCCAAAACTTAAAAGCCATTTTAGATTATGTAAGTGCAGCATATTTTGTGTAAGCATAGTAAGCTAATATAAGGACAACCTGGTTGGTACTCCCCCATTGGGCATTTCCTTGTCTCACTTCTGTTGGATAGTGAGACAAATACTACTATTATTTTTCTCCTCATCGAAACACTTGGTAAAGTCAGACACTACACCATACAGCTTCAGTATCAGGCATAGAACCATCTGTCTCTGAATCCATTTTCAGACAGTAACCTGTCTGAAATGCCTAAGAAAGTGGTTCAGACCTTTCTTGGCACTTCCCTCAAATGTTGGAGTATACATTTTCTCAGCTTTACTCACAAAGGGAGGAGAGCCTATTTCCTGCAGAGTCTCAACCAACCCAAAGTTGAGACATCAAAAATGCCTGAGTTACAATTCTGTAGGTTTTCTCAGAGTCCTTACATATAGACGAATGTTAGGTCCCTGCTTCTGGGACGAAACTCAAGTTGGTGGACATCATCCACCAGCAGTGCTTTCAGTCTCTTTTGGCTAGCCTTTGGTGGCATTGACCAGAGCTGGGTTGAGTTGCTCTGGTCAGTAAATGCCACGACAGGAGGAGTGCCGCCAGTGTGACTATGGGTCAAGAGGAAACCTGGGATCGTGCAGAACACATGGCCTAGTTTACCATGGCAACTCGCCATTCTGTCTTATCAGTAGGTGAGATAATAGGCAACAGCTGGTGACGATAGTTACCCATGGTGCAGTTGTGAACTTTACCGTGACCTATGACTATACAGGCAGCATATCTCCTATCTGTGGGAAGTTCACAACAGCCAGGCATTCATTAATGAAGGTTTCTCAGCTCCAACTCTGGTTAATGTCACCCAAGACTAACCAAAAGAGGCTAGAAGTTTCACTGATGGTCAGTGTCTGCCAGATCAAACTGTTTTACCAACAGGAAAGACAATGGGCATCAGTTAGTAAAGATAGTGATCCATGGGGCAGTTGTAGACTTTGCATGATAGAAGGTGTTTTGCCAGTGTCACCATGGGTCATACAAAAACCTGGGGTGGTGCAGAACCTATGAACGAGTTTATCATACCTACTAATCATTCTGCCATCTCCACAGGATCTTGAGAACAAGGTTAAGAAGATTTCTCCTCCAACATTTAAAGCTACACCCAAGACAGGTTTAAACCACTTTCTTAAATTATGTACCCCAAGATTGGGTCAACTTCTCCGTCCCTATATTATCTTGCCTTGTTTCCACTAGTTTTCTTTTCTCCTTGTGTAAACTATGCACTACTTGCATAATCGAAAATGTTTCTAAAATTTTGTCAAATAATATTATATATTTGAGTTGTCTTAAGTTAAAGTTAAATCCATACCATGCCAAAATGGCACAAAGGACCTAGTGCTTCAGTTTAAGTGACAATGGTAACATGTTCCCCATGGTTGAGATTTCAGCCCATCGCAGATTAACCTCCCAGATAACAGCTGGTACCCATCATAGAACTGGGTAGACTGAAACAATTTGGATAAGGTGCTTCGCTAACTGACACAACATCATGAAGCGTGCTAGCCTCGAACTCGCCACCATCCAACTACAAGTCCAAAAGGCAAAGCCAATACGCCACCCTGGCTTACATTCAAAATATTTCAAGATGTGTTCCTGTCCTGTTGTTGTTGAGCATTTTATAAGTTTATGTTTTAACTGTTTAATGTTATGAGTTAAATTTTAACAAATATTTGTACATCTTTTATTAGCATATTCGTTATACAGCAAAATGTTTGTACATAAAAAATGTATTAATAATAAAAAGATCAGCAGAACATATGTATATTTCGAACTTAACTACTCTTATCTAGTTTAAACTGCTGAATCTATCTATAGTATATTATGCACTTTTTTTAATGCTTTTATTTATTTTATTTGATCTTTACTCATATTGTTTTGTTTACCTAGCTTAAAACACGAGAAAACTAAATTTTACAAATCAGATGCCGTGATTTCAATATTGCGAACAGAAAGACCTTTGATAGCCTTGTAAAAATGACAAAAGTATATAGATAAAACATTGTTAGTTTGAATTTCGCACAAAGCTGCACGAGGGCTTTCTGCGCTAGCCGTCTCTAATTTAGCAGTGAAAGACTAGGGGGAAGGCAACTAGTCATCACCTCCCACCGCCAACTCTTGGGCTACTCTTTTACCAACGAATAGTGGGATTGACCGTCAGATTATAACGCCTTCACGGCTGAAAAGGTGAGCATGTTTGGTTGGATGGGGATTCGAACTCGCAACCCTCAGATTGCGAGCGAGCACCCTAACTACCTCGCCATGCAAGGCAAATAAAACATAATAGACTTTGAGAAATAACAAAAGTTTCTAAGCATTAAGCCAGCAGTATGTTTACGGACTTACAACGCTAAATCCGGGGTTCGATTTCCCGCGGTGGACACAGCATATAGCCCAACGTGGCTTTGCTCTATGAATTAAAAAACGAAATAATGTATCATCAACAGTCTATAACACATAATAACGTTGACAACCCTAAAAAAAATGTAATTACATTCCAAGTGATAATAATTATATTAACAAAAGTATTCAGAAAAAATATGTAGACTAAAAATAATAATAAGTATGAGTATTTCATACTCTAGTTTGCCCAAAGAAATTTATATTACTGTTCAATATAATTTTTTTGTTTATGTGTCCTTAATGTTTATTTTTAATTTTAGTTAAAATAAAATAGAGGGTGCTTGAACTTAGCCAGTTGTACATTGGATATGGGTGGAGCGGTTAATATTTTACGGTAAGATTATAGTGTTGTGTACTTAAGTGTTGAGGATGTAAGATAAATATTTGAAACGATTATTTGTTTTGTATGTATTCAATACAATTTTTAAGTAGTTTCGGAAATGCGGTATGATTTTTTGCTTCTTACGATAAACTTAATTAATGGTATATTTGGTGCAAAGGTTAGATTATAATTTATGTTGTTGTTTTTTTTTTATCAGGTTATTGTACAATAAATAGCTTGCAGTCGCACCCTTGGAATTAGGCTTAACATCCTAACAAGCAAATTACTATATTAGTATAATTGTTCAAGTACTAGCAGTAGCAGACCACTAACCAACTTTATCAAGTTTTTGAGATTTCGTATTGTGCTTATCAAGTAAGTGATTATTAAGTTTTGGCTGTCATGTTTTTATATATTTATTCAAATTACTCATACTTGGCAATTCCATAAATAATCCAATTGTTAATACTTTATTTTTAATTGTTAATAGTAATATTACTACTAATAGTAATAATATTATGTATTGACATTGGTTGCTCTGTAATTTTAAAATGTAAATCCCTCTTAATTCTAACTAAAGCATAAAATACTAAAAAATATCACTGAGAAAATGTCAAATAGTATTTATTTAGTAAAAGAGAAAGATGTTCAATCCATTTACTGAGTTATGAACATTTTGTTTAAGTCAAGTGTGTGAAATCTCAAGTGTTGACTTTATATAAGTCTTGACAAAAAAAGTGGAATATGTATTCACTGTATTAAATGCTTGGCAATTGATTATTTCATTTTTAAACTTAACACTCCAGTTACTTCCATTATATGTTCATTGTCATCTTCATTTGCTACAAATTTTCCCATTCAATACAATCTACAAGTTACAACAGAAGGTTGCTTCTTGTGACCCATCATGGTTTGATAATGTTTTTGATAAAAACATTATGAACATTCACCAATAATCAGCAAAATTAAGTGTATTTTGTGTGAAAGAAAAAATTTATTTAAAACAAATTGTCATATGTAGTATTAGTGTATTTGCTTTGCAGTGAAATAGTAAAAATATTTGAAATAAAAATAAATGTATCATTTTGCAATAGAAAATCAACTCAATCCCAAAATGTTTTTGTTTAGACACCTACATTGTTGTTACTAATTTCACTCGGTGAACCTTTTTAGCCACATAATTGGATGTAATATGGAAATTCTTCTGAAATCTGTGTAGTAAATTTCTGAAGTTAAATGATCTAATGAGACTTGAACTTCATGGGCAAACCTACATATCATAGGAATAATAGACAATCTGAAACCCAGGAGCCATACTTTGTGTCTAATGTCATGACATAGAGCTGATATACTTATTTTCAGTGCACATTTGTCAGTTTTACTTCTTTTCTTCTTCTTCATTAACAGTGACTTCTTATAACAATAAGATTCTTCAGTGAACTTTGTAGTTGAACCAACATTCCAGTATCAGTATTATCATCTTGATTATAGTGAGTATATGATGACCACCCACTTTCCACAGCAGTTGTGGCTAATCATGTCACAGAGTTGTAATATTAATGTATTTTACTTATTATAACAATTCATGATGATGAGGAACCCACTTGGCATCCTAAACCTGATGATGACATAAAGAGGGCGATACATTGTTGCTTGATTTGTGTTTTTTAAATGAAAGTTATTATAAAAATGTTCCATCAGCAGTTGTGTTGTTATATATGTTCATAATATTTTACATCTCTATCAAAACCTATTAATAAATTCATATTCCTTTGTGATTGCTTATGTTTTAAAATATGGGTACATGCCAGTTGTTTGTTTCATTTTAAAAATTAGCACACTGGTTTATTTCTGTTATATATATTCATTGTCATTTTCACTTGCTTTTCATTCACTCAATCAAACTTTAACTTGCCACATATTAGTAGAACTAATTCCATTCAAAAGTTAATGACCGCTTAGCTGCTATATCTTACATAATGTTACAGCTAACATAGCAGGTAGTAATTGAGGTGGAATTAAACAGAAATGATATAAAGAAAAATTAGATAAATATACATCATTTACACCACGCTTGCAAAAAGAATAATACTTGGATTTTCACATTCAGTTTGTGATGAAGACCCAATGGATCCATAAATCCTTTATCCACAACAAATATTTCCTGTGGTTGTATCCAATTGTAATTTCTTTCAGAATAATTTTATAATATGTGTTGAGTAATTGCTGGATCATTACTTTGCTGATCAACAAGATATGAACCAAGGACCAACATAGTTTACCCGTGAATGAACTCAACTATTATTGATGTGGTACATACTGTAACTTCACCTCTGTAATGCATAGTTAGTAAAGGTGCCATCTAAGATTAAGATAGTAAGTTCTCTTTTTTTTTCTCTTCTGCCAAAAGGTCCAATGTAAGAGGGCAGTCCTGTTAGATACCAGTTCCTGGCTTCTGCTATGTCTAAATTCATAATACTGAGGAATAAAATCACTCATAAAAACATAATATACTGCTTGCCTTGCTCTCTTTACCCTAGCTACAATTTTGTTAGATAACCCAGTATGGGAGTTCAAGAGAAACCTCAAGCAAGCTTGCACACATCTTACATGGATATTCCTGAGAGATAAAATCCTAGAAGACAAGATGGTTAGTCCAGTCAGGTTAAAGCCTTCACTATCAGTTAGCTTGTGAAACTTATAAACTGTTGCTCTTGTATCCTTCAAATATCTATCACTTACATTCTATTATAATTGGTATGGTCTTTCATCTTTGCATCTAACGTGTGATACATGTCAGGTACAAATTACTTTGTATCTACTGGTGACTTTTGTGACTCCAGGGATGTCTATATAATACATAAAAAATTCCTACTTAAACTGCAGTCCTTGAAATTAGTGATGGTATATGGGAAAGCCATGATATTTTATGAAAAATGTCAAGTATGGCAGCAAAAAAATGCCATCATAACAAAAAACTCATAATATTTTTTACATTTCTCAATTTTTCCTGCAAATAACATCAATGATTAATATTTTATAAAAAATAATTCCTGATTAATAACTAGAATATTTAATGGTAAAATTGCCTACCTCACCCTGCCTAATTGGAGATGTTAGATACAATTTAATTTAGTGGATTGCTGTAACAAATCAAGCCAAATGTCAAACTTGTTTAAGATAAAAACTCGTACTACAATTTCTGGGTGACATTTGTAAAGAGCTAGCTTCTTTCACAAAAAAAATTATTTACTCTCACCGTGATTACCTAAATTAAATATAACAGAAAATAAGAATATCACACAAAATAAAAAGCACTCTGTTTACTAAAACATTTTACTGCATTTCTTTAGGTATGATAGTATAATCAATAAACCTGTTTTAAATGTTAAAATGTTAATAAAACACTTACAATGTTTGAAAATAAAGTTAAGACAATTTCAATGTATTTTGCTAGCATTCAATAATACAAGTATCGTTTTGATTTTGACTTGCCTTGAAATTTGATTATGGTACAGATAAAATATGACAAAGCTGATTCTGATTTTATTATTTTATAAAAATGTTTAATCAATACGAAAACGTACTCTAAGGTTTTCTTCTTGTATCTTGGTGATTACACGTGTATTAAATGTATCTTTAAGTAGAAGAATCTCTTCAGTATGGAACACAGCATTTTTCATGAAGTTGTTCTGATTAATGCACTTATGATGCCTTTTTTTTTCTTGTTTTTTGGCCTTGGTAATTTTGTAATCTGAAGTGGTACATCAGTTTCCTGAGTTTGTTAACATTTGGCATGACTTTTGCCCTTTGACCTAATGTTTAGTTTTAAATGCTTAGGGTTTATACAATCTGGTTTGCTTGAAAATACATTGGGAGTAGAATGTGGTGGAGAGAGATCATCAGGGATTTGGAATAATAGTACTGTTGATGACACTTGCTACCAGTGATGCACCTTCGGCAGAAATATTATCTTATCTTTGAAGGTATCTTCTTAGTTCACTATTATTTTATCCTGATGTGCTTCTTATCTCTTTTGGTCCAAACTTTACATGGTGTACAACAAGAATATATTTTTAGCATGACTGAATGATGTCTTGCTAACATCACTTCAGTGTGAGATTTATAAACCTTTCAGTAAGTGATGTGGAAAAAACACTAATGATACCTTAACAACATAAGTGTATCAGTTTCTTTAGATAATGTAACTTCAAATGTGTAACCATGTGATTGTTTCATCAAAATAAGTCACAATGACATTGGCTGATATGTAGGATATACATAAGATTACTGTTGATTTTTTCAGTGGTTACCTTTTGTGCAAAAGGTGTCAACACTGTAAAATATGATAAAAAAGATGATCTTGGCACTTTAACATAAACTTTTTATTTATTTATTTTTTTACAAAACAGTCAGAACATCTTTAAGTAATATAATTTTACTATTTATCAAATCTCATGATTATAAATAGTCAACTGAAGTTGTTTAAAGGTTGCACACACATTAAAAATAGATAGTTGTAAAAATACCTTAAACTGAGCAAAATTGCTCACATAGACCTGCATACAATTCTAAAAACATTGACACTGAATATGTGACAGTAGACATGTTAATTTCTTCCACTATATCTTCAGGCAGTTCCATTAAGAGTGAAACAACTTCATAGTAAATGTTGGTTTTTTGGTCATCACCTTTAGGCAGAATTATCCTCATTCAGACCTATGCCCTCTCCTTTTCTGTACATAGGTTTTTCAGATGACTAGAACTTAGCAATATTCATGTACTAAGTCTTTTTGTTAGGGAACCTCTACTTCCTCCCTTATAAAGAGCCTAATCTTTCAAGCAAACCTGGGTAAACTGAGCCAAGTTTGCTATGGACACATTTTCTCTTTAAAATGATATCATTTATAGTTTTGTATAATCTTACTTTGCCTTCTTACAGCTTTGCTGGTGTCATCATGTATTTGTTGGTGTACTTCTATAATAAACACACAATACATAATGGCCAAAAGCCAGTAAAATACATAATCTGCACAAAAAAAGTCATCAACATATTGGCCTTACTTAATTGAACCATTTAAAATAAAACTTGAGCAAGTTTATAACATCAGTTATATTATTATATAACTAGAATTACAACATGTATTATTAGAACTACATATGCAGTTTTAATAGACTTAAGAGAGATGGAAGGGTGTATCAGTATTATTATTTGAACTATTCAGGAAGGTTATACAGTTCTAAATTTAATATATATTAGTATCAGATAGTAATTAGGCAAAGGTAGAGGTTGGTTGATGTTCTTTAATAGAAATAAAGGGTGGTAAATGGTATCGGTGTGTTAGAAATTTAGGGTGGTTGATTATATCAGATTTATGTTTTTAGGGGTAACTGTCATATCTACAACTGGTGAAAGATGGTGTGTGGTAGTGGGCTCTGGAATGTTGTGGGTTCGAGCACCCAGATCCTAACCTCTTATTGAATCTGTAGCTTGCTTTCTAGTTTTACATCTGTTGTTTTGATTATGTCTGATAGATGGAATAACTTCAATGATTTTGGGTTCTATGGTCACAAATATTTTCATCTGAAGTGATGCATACCCTTTATACTTTTGTTTAAATGGTATAAGTGTGTTGTAGTTTTGCTTGTGTAATCATAATAAACTACAAATCCTTTACACGTGAGAATTGTTTTGCACTCTTACAAGTTGAAAGATTATTTGAAAGCACTACCTCTGTTACATTTAAGCCCTTCAACAGAAGCTTTCTAGACCTCTTGATTTTTGTACAAAATATTGAAATGTAACTTTTATGATTGCTAAGTTATGATTTATTTTGGTGTTCTTCGTGTTCTATAGAACTGCTATATGATCACTGATTTGGATAACATATGCCAGTCTTTGATATGATTATTTCAGTTCAGATTCTTAACTGCTCATCTGTTTCTATTACACTCAATTTTAGTCATCAAGTGAATTATAAAAAAAAAGGAAAATCTTTTAACTAGTTAATATATTTTCATTAGATATCTTTTCCAATATTATCTTTTGATACACATACTAGAAATCTACATTTCTACAAGCAGCAGAAAAAAAAATGCTATAAATCCACATTTTATATAAACATTTGTTTAAAACTGTAAGCACCCTATTATTAAAACAACAATTGCTAAATAACTTTGTAAATTATGATTTATTTTGAAAAATGACATTTAAAATGAAAACTACATTTTGGATTTTGACATTTCTGTAGTGTGTTACTAAAGTTTGTGATGCTGCTGTAAAGCAAAAACACTTGAGACTTTAAAAAAAAACACATTCGTGGGAATATTCAATTCGTATATATATATTTATATTACCTACACTTCTTCACTTTCAGAACGTTCATATTATTTAGGGATGCTTAAATGAATTATAAATGTATGGATAATTCGAAATTTCTGAGAAGTTTACTCATAAATGGCCTTGATGGATTGAATGGCTTTTTGTTATGTTTATATGTTATGTGCATATGTAGTCTTACTTTATCTCTGCTATTCATGAATGTTAGACTTAGAATGATTATTGAATTTTATTGTGTGAGTTCATCCTTACCCTAATTATGATTTGCAAGTTACTCATATTGGTAAAAATGACATTCACCAACTTAATCTAGTTCACACCTTAACAGGTTTTGTTCATACAATTTGTAAAGTTTAGTGATATACATGAACTACACAGTAGTATTTGCCCCTTGAATTTCATATAATTTTCAGTATTTTTAGAAATAAATTATGTAATTAAATACATAAATGTATAGCATATATATGAAATGTTTTGATTTTGAAACAAAAACAAGCATCATCAATAAAAAAGAATTGATATCTTATTTTTCTCTTTGTCCATATCGTTGTATCTGTGAATGAAAATGTCTAAATACATGCAGTATTATTGATCTTTGTTTACAGTTGCTCCTGATTTTTAGAAGATGTTTTGGTACTTAAGGTATTGCTTTTGCTGAACAACTGTAACATGGCAAGTCGTGAAAGAGACAAGAAGGGGGGAAATTTGGTGAGTGTGTTTGAATCTAGATGCACTTAAATGACAATTTTGTTCTAGTTTACTGTATTACTCATCATATTTTTTTCATATTGTGTTTGTATAAATATTAACATGTAGTATGATAAAAAGGAATCTTTCTTAGGTTGTGATAAAATGTTATCCAACAGAAATTTATATGCAGTGAAAGATACCAATTCAGTGCTTGAATTATCAACAATTTATTAACATGTATAACATGCTTTGTATAAGATAAAAGTTTAACACATATAAAATGAAGGGCCAAGATGTTGGGAAGGGTTTCTTTGTAAGTTGTCAAGATAGGGTAATGAATAAATTGTGATTCTTCTGGATATGTGTGTTATGTGGCCTAGAGCTGGGTGATTTAATTGATAACTATGAGCAGCAATTATATTGATTAGTGTCTCATAAAATAATTGATTAATGTTGTGAAAATAATCAACAAATCAAAATTAGTGTTTTCACATTATTACTGTTTTTTATTATTTCAACAATTAATAAATTGAAATTATGATTGTCACAAAAGTAATCAAATAATGGAAATTAGTGTTTCCGTTTACTACTTTTTATGATTATTCCAACAATCAATTAATTGAAATTATGATTAAATTGATTGTCCTGAAAATAATCAACTAATCAAAATTAGTTGATTCAGTTATTCCAACAATTTATAAATAAAAACTACAAGTCAGTTTTCATGAGAATAATTAATCGTAATGAGGGATTCAGATTATTGCTATTTTCAATTATGCCAACTACCCAAGTAATGAAAATATTTCTATTATTTGTTTGTTGTTAAGCACAAAACTATATAAGGGGATATCTGTGCTCTATCCACTGCTTTGGGCTAATATGGCCTGGTGGTTCAGGGGGGGGGGGGGGGGTCTTGGTTTCAATTCTTATTGTCACCAAACATGCTCACCCTGTCTGTGTTATAGCAAAACTACAACTAAGACTATCTGCCACTGTTGATGATTTTTAACTGCTGGCTAGAGGTAAGGCAAGTGGCTGGTGGCACCCACTTGCGAACTGTACCATAGCTTGAAAAACACTGTAGTAATTGAATGTAATTGATTAATATGCCCATTAATTATTAGCAATTACCACTAATCACCTAGCTCTAACTCCATGCCAAGTGGAAGTGCACCAGATGGTCCATTAATCTTCTGAAAGCCTAAACAGCAGATTACTTTTTCTTTCACAAAAGAAGTAATGATTTGTCATCAAAAAATATAATTAGAAACTTAACTTTATTGACTTAGTGACTGGTATTTAGCACTCTTTACCTTCTGTGATAGCATTTTATCCATTTTTTTTTTCAAAACACAATTTTGTTCAACATTTTTTTGCACTCAAAACAATAAAGCAAAGGTGAAACATTATTTATAAGATTATTAATAACAAAATTCATAATACACTATTTGATGTGATTTATAAGATGTGCTACATTTTGCACTCAAGTGGAATATTTGCTGGTGACACTTTTCGTTTTCTGGCATGCTGTATAGCAGTATAGTCTTTTCCCTTTAACACTGATTGCTTGACTCACTATGGGAACAATAAGACTATCTTGCAGGTTTGACAATTCTTTCAAATTAAGTAAATAATAGTTGATGATAATAAATAAAAGTACAAGTTCAAAAAATGTGTGTAATTAACATTAATAACTTTTTTACTAACAAACAAGACAAAATTCAATTTAAAACAGAAGATTAAAAGGATTTTGTTAAAAACAAATGATTAAAACCAGCCTTATTGTTTGGCACAATGTAGTTCTTGCTGATCACACGCTGATTACAGGTCAAGTTTCACCAATGCCGTTAGGTAATGTTTTCGTAAAAGTACTAATGTC